AAGAAATAAATGAGGAAATAGTGAAAATGCGTGATGTGGCTGATAACTTAGTAAAAAATGTCGAGATGAACACGAAACGAAATTCAAAATATTAGACAGAAGTTTCAGAATTCAGAAAAGAAAATGAAAATAAACTGCTTACACAAGAAATTGTTCCCGTTAACAAAACTTGCTAGTCCGTGGCATCACCTACAGTGAACAGCAGAGGTGTAGCGTTTCAGAAACGTTTCTCGAACATGGGCTTATTTTTAAACATACACCGGCTGCCACAACACACTACCAATAAGCGTACAAAAAACTCAAAACCTATAGTTGTGAAATTTGTACACATGCCTGATACACAGGATGTGTGGCAAGCTGGTATATCAAACTCGACAATGTTGAGTGACAGAGAGTTATCGATCCGTACATATCTACATGTTGTTCTGAAAATTCTTGAGTACAGAAAAACATATTACCTCTCTGTGGAAAGCCACTTGGCGTGAAGATGATATCTATTTGTAGTATGACACTCTCAGACTTAGTAGGTGATTACAAGTTAGATTGGGTCCTGCACCCGTGTGTATGTGTGTGTGTGTGTGTGTGAGAGAGAGAGAGAGAGAGAGAGAGAGAGAGAGAGAGAGAGATTCGATAAGAAAACCATGTTAATGCTGATAAGCACGTGGATATGTCTGTCAACACTGACCACGTGTCTGCGTGAACTCTTAAACGGATGTTTTGCTTTCCATCGTGAAAGACACATTTCTCGCATATTTTCTCGCGGTATCTTTGCCGAGGGATTAAATATGTTACTGACTTTAACTGCACGTATGTAACACAACATCTTCAATAAGACTTTAAGACATCATTGCTCTGTAAATATAATTAGTTCTTGTAATATAAGACACTGATTTCTATCATTGTGTAACTGATTCATTTATTCAAAAATACTTGCATTCGATACCGGAAATGCATCAGTCACTGGCAATGTTTTGGGTTTGTTGTTTACTTATACTTGGGCGGTTTCGGTATGAATTCGGTATGCCATCGAAGGAAGCGAGTATGTTTTATACTTTTTCATGTTTATATTCACATATAAAACAGAACACTTCCAAAACTTTCCATTCAAACATGCAGTGTGCAAATTAATACAGCAGAGACAAAACTATTCTTATTTAATATGGACAAATATGTAAATTATGACAAAGTACACGGAGGGGACATTTGAGATAGTATCATTAAATTGTATAGGCTTAAATAACACTTTTAAAACAAAATACATATTTGGGTTCATTAGTAGTAAAAAAGCCAATTATTACTGTCTATAACATGTAGCTGGAGATAAAGGTATTAAAATAATGGGCTGAACATTAGCTACCCAAATGTGCTTTTAAAGATGTTTTTAAGGTGGTATAAATGGCTACAAATACGTGAGAATTATAAACATAGTACCAGACAATCCCACTACTACGTGAAAATCAAAGTTTGTGAAACCCTTTCCACATGTGAATATGGACATACATGGGATATCAAATCAACACATAATGAAAGCATAAGACTAAAATACTAGGGAATGAAATTAACAGACAACAAATTATCTAGCACCATGTTGAAAAAGTCAAAGAACTCAAGCCATGCAGCCGAATGCCGGACAGAGATGAGTAGGGAGGCGATAAGATCATAGGTCCGTAATGACCCGGGTTTTCGACCCAGTGACATGTGTGTATGAATGTGATTATGCATACCAAACCGTTGTGCATACTGATGCATCCATATATTTATTGTACTAAACAACACCGTTGAATGTAATCGTCGAACACAAGAGTTCCGTCTTATTACTATGATGTCTTCCAGGTGAAGTTGTAATTGAAAGTTGTAGTTGTAGTTGGAAACTGGAATCGTAAAGCTCGAGAAAGCTTCTTTCTGATTTATTGATGCCTAATTAAAGTTATTTATTATGTTGGTCGGTCAAAGTTGGCGAAAGGTCATTCTGACGTGACCAGTTATGGGATGTCCACTAAGATTTGATTTTAATGAGATTGGGTAGATAATTTACCTTCAAACCTGTGTTTTTTCTTCAGAAACAGGCCATTCTGATAGACAACAGAACTTGCTGCTTCAAGTCAAACGTTGTTATTTGTTAGAATTTCATTATACAACTGACAAACGATCATCTCTACACACACACAATCATTCTAAAACACCATGACAACACACAACACAATCAAGGTAAATTTCATTAGCAGATACAATCTGTATCAATTTACTTATACATATTTAAAATATATTTACGAAATCTACAGGATATTGACCTAAAACATATACATGCAGAATAGGACATTTGTCTTTCTCACAGAATATCAATCAGTTTCAACAAACCAGATAGCCACTTAGGAGCACTTCTTGACTGTCTCTGCTCCCCAGTAGCAACTTTGGCATGATCGATGTCAGTCACTAGTAGCACATGAGAGGATATCACCATCCAAATCAATTACAACCACACTGTCTGAAACAGGGTTAGAATCAGTGGAATGAAAACTACTAGCTGCAGTGTCAGCCTCTACTTGGTCAGCTGTTTCATCCACCACAGTGTCAAGTTGGGTCTCTAGATGTCTTGGACAATCATGATGTCTCTCCAGACGTCGATGATTGATGACCCTTGGTCGACCACATCAAGCACACGGTCGAAGCCTGTATGCTGCCATGCTGATCTGCTCCTCAACAACAAAATGTCTTTCCCATCTATTTGCATTGAGCTTTTTGGTGGTTCCTGGATTATCTTCAGGATGGAGTAACATGACCTTCTCCCCCTTTTTATAAGGAACAAATTGTGCAGTGTCACCACAGGTCTGACTCCGTTTGCCCTGCTCATCCGCTTTTTTCTTTCTAACATGTTCCTGTATTTCCAACATCTTAGAACGTCTAGATGAAGGATCCAATGTTTCACTCGAACCAGCATCCAAATGCATCTTGTTCCGAGCAAAACGATCGAACACCACTTTAAATGGCGTTTCATCTGTCGCTTTATTTGGAGTTGTTCTAATGACCCTAAATGTGGCTGAAAGTTTCAGATCCTAATCTTTCTGGTCCTTTGCTTCATTGAGTACAGCAAGTCTTTATGCTAGTGTCCGATTCATTCTCTCCACCTGACCATTCCACTGTGGATTATAACGTGTCGTGCGAGTGAAAATAGTCCTGGGACCATCACTGCATCTACCTGTGGAGCTCTGGACAAAGCATCTGGTAGTTCACTGTCCTTTCCTGGCCGATGATGTATGGTAAACTCAAAATTCTCTAATGATACTCTCCATCTTTCAAGGTGCCCCTTGGTTTTTCAAATTGAGCAGGTAAGTAAGCGGTTTATGATCTGTTATAACAGTGAAGTGTTTCCCTTCTAGATACATGGCAAACTTTTCCGGTGTCCAGACAATAGCCAAAAATTCCTTCTCAGTAGCTGAGTAATTCCTTTCTGGTCAAGTGAGAGCCCTTGATGCATACTCAACAACATGTTTATCCTGAGAAAGCATTGCACCTGGTCCCATATCACATGCATCAGTCTCAACAACAAACTCTTTTGTGAAATTGGGACATGCTAGTACTGGAGCCGACGGCATTTCTCTTTCTAGTAATCAAATGACATCTGACAGTGTCCATGTGAACACGACATTCTTTTTGTGTGAGATCTGTCAGAGGTTTTACAATGTCAGCAAACTTGTCAATAAACCTGCGATAGTAAGGTGCCATTCCAACAAATCTTCTGACATCTGCTGCATTCTGTTGTCTTGGAAAGTTATTTATTGCACTAATCTTGCCTGGATCCCGATTAACTCCCCTGGTGTTAATGACGTGACCCCGATATTTTACTTCAGTTCTTGCAAAATACACTTTTTGAGGTTTAGTTTTAAGCCAGCACTTCGTAAGCTCTCATCAATCTCTGAAATGTCGCAGGAGCCCCCTTTAAGCCAAATGGCATGACATTAAACTCATATAGTCCCTTGTGTCAAGCAAAAGCAGTTTTCCTTTCATCTTCCTCTTAATAGGCACCTGATAATACCCTTTGGTCATGTCCAACGTGGTGTACAGACGCGCCTGACTCAGTGCAGCTAGGATGTCATCTATCCTCGGGACAGGAAAACTGTCCCCTAAACAATGATCGATCAAAGCGCTAAATTCAACACAATACCTTGTTGTTAAATCAGCCTTCTTAACAAGAACTTATGGACTTGAACATGGACTATGACTTGGCCTGATTAAGCCATCCTGTAAACTTTAATCAACAAAGTCTGAAATCTTGTTCTGGGCATCATGTGAAAACCGCCGAGGCTTCTGTGCAACATGCGCTGCATTTCCAGTAGGAATAGAATGTCAATCACTGTGGTATGACCAATTTCTCACTATCCAAGTCTACTAAACAGTATTTAGTTACAATAGTTATCCCCACTACTAAACCAATAAAGCGCACATTAGTGTCATGATATAGCAACTCAAACAGGGACGCTTAATGAGGGAAACCCCGGTTTCAACAACCTAAAGCCTTTTGATTTACTGTTACCAGGATCACATGTATATTGGATATGGTTACCTGGTGCCCTGTCAGTACAAAGTGTTCCTCTCAGAACATGAAGATTGTTTCAAGAATAAATTAGTTATGTTATTAGAAGTAACAAGTTCTGATAAAGCAGGGTTATACATTTATTCACACTTCAGAATGACAAACACAAGCCCAGTCTTGTTCCAAAAGGAGGCATTTGCATGCGAACACTGAAGACTTCAAGTATTCTACTTTTTCCTTTGTCCCTGGTTTTGTACCTAATTTTAAAGGAGACGAGAGCATGCTGAAGATCTTCAGCAGTCTAAGGTTACCCATGTCATGCTGCATAAGATGTAGATGCTTTGGAAGAACACAGTATACAGCAACTACGACAAGAAACGTGTATCAGATGTAAGGTGATGATGAAAAGAAGTGGAAAGAGACAAATTACAAAGTAAACAAAATATCACAAAACTACACATCTACATACCTGTCCACACAGCCTTAAATCCCTTCCTGACTACCCAAGGATTCGTAGTAAACACAACCCGGTAGTACACGGCTGACTGGAGAATGTAGCCCCGTCTGTATCCACTCAGATGGGCAAGGGGGTTGTTGGAGGCATCATAAACCTGCAGTTTACAAAAGGAGGGTTGAGTCCCATTGTGACTACATCCCAACTGGCCTACAAAGTAACTGTAGGCAAATTCGAAATACAAACCACACTCCTTCAGAAATAATGAGCATGACTATTACATGTGTGAATACTATAATGATCAAAATTAACATAGAATATATGAATTAAATATTAAAATATATATATGCAACTACTAAAAAATATATTATTGGGAAGTTATCAATTGCTCTTGTTTTCAGTAGAATTTATCTTTTTAAATAACAAAACAATAAACACAATCAGATTGATAACAAGATAAACACATTGTGTACCCATCCTCACAGCACTAGTAAACACACCTAAAATAACAATATTTGAACAAATATGTTTACACAAGCAAAATAATCTACCATTCACTGAACCACCAGATGCGCCCCGACCAACCTTAAGCGGACATGGCATTAGACATGTGGCATATTTGAAAGCAGTAACACTTATAGATTGCAAACCAGTGCAGCCTTCAACTTTATTGGTAACATTGACAAAGGTGTATGGCTAACATATACATCATGTATGTATTACTACGATGTATCACCACGTTGTTTTGAATAGTAATCAATTTGAATGCCGTCCAAAGTGAGTGGTGTGATCAGCTGATTCTTCAATCAAGGTCGTTTTGTCGAGATTTTGCAGTCGGTATTTATAGTGTTATTCTTGATTTTTAGATTTCACTAGATTAGACATGTTACGTAGTTTAGTTCTGTACGTATCCATGGGTTTAGGAATGGTAAGAACACATGCATGCATTTCAGTGCAGCGGCTACTGTATTAGTACGCAAAATATGGTCTTACATGCTGCATGTAAAGTTGGTTAGACAATTGTGAATTTTGGCAGAAACACAAGTATTTAGTGGGAATATTACTAAAACAGGTGAGAGAAACATGTTCAGGAAACTGTGAAGAAACCGGCACTGACAAATAATGTCATCAACAACATAATATTATGTAAACAAAGAGATGGAAAATAACCGAAATCATGTTGGCATTTGCAATATACATGGTTTAGTATGAAATAGTTGTGTGAATGATCGGTGGCTGTTTGTTGCCATAACGTTATTTTGATTGCGTGATCGATCATAAGCCTATTGAAATTCTTCCCATTTTCTGTCTGTAAAGATTTTTTTACAAGATTCATTTATCTGGTAGATTTAATTGCACGCTTCATTCCATATTGGGTCTAATTGCTTTAGAAAAAACACAATGTTTACATACCTTGACAAGATCAATCCATTCCTCCGTATTGAAATCTTCAAACACGAGAGTGACCAATGTCTCCCCTGCATCAATGATGTAGGTACAGTACAGGCCGTTGTTATAATTGCCAGGATAGTTTGGTGAGGTGAAAAAACCAGAGGAGCCTGTGTAGCGCTCACCGCATCCTGATTAGATACAATAAGGCGTGTGTACATGTGATTGTTTATAATATATCTTCCTACCGACAAATTAGAGAAATCACTGAAATCAAAAACTGTATATTGCGAATGGATAAAATGTGAAAATGTTCGTCCAAAACGTAACAAAATCACTTTCTGATGTGGAAAGATATATTTCTCTGCCAAATGCAGCATAATTATGAATAAGTTACTGGAAGTGTAGAGGCAGTAAATTAGAGTTCAGGCTTAATGCTGACACAAAGTATATCCTTATCTCACCAAAAGAAATAGTTTTATTGAGGATGAATTACATGTCATACTTACGTGTGACAGATAAAATGCTTTCAGATATTTCAGATTGCATGCATATCTTATAGCAAATCCGTGAAATATTTTAATATCATATTTAAAATCTGTCAATTTACATGACGGATTAAAAGTAAATGATAACAATTTATCAGTCACTAGCCCAAATGAACAACTAATTACAAAGATATAATGGGAACAGGTGACCAGAGTCTGAGTGTGACACGTGTAGTCGCTGTGCAGAGTTGTGTCCCTTGACTCAATATAATGCTTGATTGATCAGCACAAGTATGAAAGATGAAATATGACGTCTATGACCTGGTTCACTTTTGACACACCCTGGTATAAAAAAATGCTGTTCTAACCAACGTAAGTACCAACTCACACACTCACCATGTTAATATGATTGTGCCAAAGGCAGCTATTTGAACCTTAGACGCTTCTCCGCCGTTGTCAGTTGTTTCACACTTACACAAAAGCACATCGAGATGTAACCTTATAATTTGATATTAGCTATACAGTTTAGTTTCTAGAATGCTTCAGAATTAGTATGAAACCAAGTACGTGTCACTGATGTGGTTAAATCACATGACGCAAACAGGGTAGACTTACTTGTAAGGTTGGATTACATTTCACATGTACTACTAAACTACGACACGTTTACTACTACTTTTCTTCCATACTGGAATATTTACTTTCTCTTTTCCTTAATAAAATTCAGGTATCTTTCAGAATTAAATCATAATAATCAGACAAGATCTGTGGGTGTGCTAATTATAGTAACTATGCGTTATCTACACAATTCAAAACAAAACAAAATGCTAAATGAGGCCTTGAATAAAAGGTCAATATCACAATAATAAAGAGCTGTCGACAAAGGTAAGGGTCGCCCTTTTATGTTGAACTTTTCAAAGAAACCTTTCAAAAACAGTTCAATAACATCCATAAGAGTGCAGTGCTTCTACCTCTTAGGGACATTTGGGACTTTAACAGACCTTGCTTTTTAATAAATTGGAGATGAGCTTTGGGACATTTTTCCAAATGTACAAATATAGTCAATGCTTAAAGGTGAAGGGTACCGGAATAAAACAACAGTTGTCTGTCGGACTACCTGGTATACCAAATGAGGTAGTCCTGATAAGATTTAGGTAGTCCAACAACATTTTAAAAAATAGATTAATTGTTATGAATACCTAACAGATTTCGAGCAGAAGCCAACCCACTATTTTGCTATATGAGTAAAGTGACTCCCTGTTCGGCCATCCAGTGAGTGCAGCTACCCAGACAGCAGCCTAGCCGACAAATACAACTTAAAATATAAGTCCCATTAGTTTGTTATTTTTGTTTGTTGTTTGTTTTATATATCCAAAGAAGTTAAGAGGTTATTAGGTATAATGCCCAGTTACAGGTTTAAACAATTCAACACCATTGGATTTCACAGTCCCAATAACCTAAACATTTCATGAAAGACAAACCTTTAATTAACCATTAAGTGTCACGCCAGTCCTTCAGAAAATAAACTGAGCTCTTTTGGAAATATAGTGTTCGGATTGGCCAGCAGTGTGAACTATACGGAAGTCTTTGGCTGTATATTTGAGTTTTCAAAAAGAAAGAGATGAAGTATTTTGAAGTCGATACATTTTGTGAGACGTGACTTTCAAAAACTTACACACATTGAAAGCATGTGTTTTGCGTTAACAATATATTTTTGCTGGAACCACTGTGTGAGCTGTTTTTGAATTCTCCCAAAAGTTCGAAAGAGTTCAATGTATCCAACAATGGGTAAGTAAATAAACCCACTCGATAAGCGAATCAGACAGATCTTCAAACGATTTATATATTCTTGCTTTCTGTTGATTAATCTGTATGTCAACAAGCATGAAATACACATATCCCCCGCCAATATGACATGTCCGGTTGTGTGCAAGGCATTAGCTCGTGTGAACTATGTTCACTGAACCTTTTTGTAAATGGCCTAATTGCAACACATGCACTAAAAAAGTTGTAACTGGTTCTTACTGGTGTTTTTGTCTTCAAAAATCCAAAACTATTTACTATTTACTATTTACTACTAGACCTATTTATGTGCCAAGTTTGGTGAAGAAATATTGCACGGTTTTCAAGATCTGTGCCAAGTATGGTGATTTTCAATCTAAGTCAAAGTCGTTGCCAGGGAATCAAGAAACATATTTTTTCAAAAATCCAAAACTGTCAATTGCCACCAGTTTACATCTAGACCTATTTTCGTGCCAAGTTTGGTGAAGAAATAGTGTACGGTTTTCAAGATCTGTGTCAAGTTTGGTGATTTTCAGTCTAAGTCAAAGTCGTTCCCAGGGAAATTCGAAAATTAGTTTTCTAAAAAATCCAAAAACTAACAAAAGGCACCAGCTCACCACTAGACCTATTTATGTGCAAATTTTGGTTAAGATATCTCTAGTGTTTTAATAGTTCTGCTCCGGAAACGAAACGTGACGGACAGACTCCCCCGGAGAATCTGTTCTGAAATAAAATCTCTCCCAGGGCGGATATGTTTCGCGCCCCCCCCCCCCCTCCCCCTCAGTATAAAGTATCCCACTGATTATTTGGTTTGATGCAATGTCTTTAAGTACTATATTCTTTAAATAGTTATCTTTAATGTAAGGAGGGTTACTTTAAAAAACAGATTGTGAATTATGGTCATAATGAATTGATCTTTCAGCATATTTTATTTGGTAACTGTACCTTCCATCCTAAAATAATTATAAGACATAATCATACCAAACAAATTTGAATGAAATGACTTAAAGAAACAAATACCTGTACGGTTACTGTTGTAACAGAATTCAGAAATCTTATTAATCCTCACAAACATTCGGTTTTAACACTAACTACGTAAAAACTGTCAACATATCCACGCGCGTCTCCAGCTCAGGCTCTCCGTTATACTCTGATTTAAGTTTACGATTTGAAAATGGTATCAGTGTAATATCAGTGGCTAGAATATCATGGTGCAAGCAGGTTTCAGAGAAACATACAACATCATAACTATATAATTCAGCACTGATAAAATCTACTTTGTCTTTAAGACTGCATACGTTTACATATATAATCTTTAAATCTGGACTATGCAAAGGTTTTGGATTCAGATGGATATTACCGCAGTCGAAGAGAAAAAGTAAAACTAAGAATGATAATCGGAAATTATACAAGCAAAGTAACCATAAATATAGAGAAATGTGTTTCATCTTCCCGAAATGATTAACATGTAGAATAGATTCAAAAACGCCCACCACCAGCCTTTATTGACTAACATCAACCGGCATCGTCAAAGCAAAGGGTACAGGTACTTGTTACAATCGGGCTGGCGGTGAATCTTAATGAAGAACACCTTGTTAAAAAGACACACCAAAACTGATTTGCATAACTGATGACCACAACATATTGCAAAATATCAAAATAGTAAAAATGATACAGTATAACCTCATACCCAAGAGAAAACCAGAAAAACACAGAGAAGTAAAAATAGCACGTCATATAGAAATGAGATAAAGTAATCTGAGAAGGGATTCATACGTTATATACAACTTTTAAAAAATCTCATTATGAAAAACGAAAAAAAAAGTGCCCCTCCCCCCCCCCCCCCCCCCCCCTCACACACACACACACACACGAAAAGAAAAAAACCCCGCAAAATCAATAAAAATAAACAACCACACACACACAAGTAACTAAATGTATATTTAGATAAATATATAACCCAGAAAAAAAATAAAGGAGAGAAAAAAATAAATAAAAAATACATAAACAAATTAACATTAAAACCTAGAGGAATATGAAAATGTGTAATGCTAAAGCATGAAGACACGATAAACTGTACCAACATTACAATGTTCCCCGTTATGCATGCTTTACCTGGGTTACATACGGGTGATCTAAGTTAGAAATGTATGACTGATATAAATTCTTTAAACACGGTGATATCGAATATGCTTGGATTATCTTTTTTTCAAATGTGTTTCAAATGGAAACAATAGACACTACTCCAACTAAAACAAACCAAACTTCCCTCTCAGACCCAAAAAGGAAGACAAAAATAAACCGCAAAACTCCCCAACCTGCCAACACCCAAAACCTAATTAACCTCACCTTACTCCTAGTAAACATGCATAGTCAAAACTCACCAAAAGCTAGCATGAAATCCTTCCACAAAGTAGCTTTTAATCTAAAATTAAACAATCTTTCTTTCTTTCTCTTGAACCTCCATCTAAAAGAAGTCACCGAATAGAAAATAAAAAATAAAAAATAAATCACCAATCACCCGAACCCAATAATGGAAGGACTAAACATTTTTCAGTGGAACGCCAACCGACTCAACTCCCACGGCCATGAACTAAAAACTCAATTTAAACTAAATAAAGGCCCTCACATTGCTTGTATCCCGGAAACCAAATTCTAAAAAAAATCCAAATTCACACTACCTAACTACAACTGAGTTAGAACTGACAGAGCTAAAACAAAAACAAGAAGAGCCATTGATAAAATAGATAATCATGGCAAATTAATCTCCGAATGGATAGAAACAAACGACCTAGTACTCCTAAATAACAACCAACCCAAGTGATACGATAAGATAAACAAAAAAGTGTCGGCTATCGACCTAACCATATGCACTGCACATCTAGTTCAAAGTACTCAATTAGAAGTGCACGACGTCCCGCTAGGTAGTGACCACTTCCCCATAAACATAACCAACCATAGTAAATACAAACGTACCAATCAAAACAGAAAACCAAGAACCAAAATTCCATTACAATAAAGCTAACTGGGACCAATTCCAAGATATCTGCAACAAAGCTAACTTAAACGAAATAGAAAATAATGATCCAGAAACCGATTGTAAAAACCTTATAATAATAAACGCAGCCAAAACCTCCATCCCCTTCAAAACATCTAAGACAGGCAAACCAAAGGTACCATGGTGGAATGAGGAAATAGAACAGACCAGACCAGACGAAAACGTAAATCAGCCTTCAATAAAGCAAAACGCGACTACAAACATCTAAACATAGCCCACGAACTAAACCACCAGGTTAAAAAAAACTGGTCCAAATAGCCAAAAGTAGAGACTGGAAAAAATTCTGCGAAGGTATAAATAACCGCACAGATGCCAGAACGGTTTGGCGCAAAATCCACGCCATTAGAGGCTTAAAACCACATTAAAAAAAACCTGACATTAACAACTCAACAAACCACGCCCAAAAAGCAAATAATCTCGCCAACCACTTTTCGGCCGTTAGCAGTAACACCAACTTCAGCCAAAAATTCCAAGATAAACTTAAAACAAAAAACAAACCCACAAAAGAACCAAACAATAACAATCTAGAAATAAACCAACCCTTCACAATGGAGGAGCTCCTCTACGTAATCCAAAACAGGAAAAAGGGCACAGCCCCAGGATTTGACCTAACTTCTTACCTATTAATTAAAAATCTCCCGCTAAAACTACTCCAGGCACTACTTAAACTATACAATCTCATCTACCTAAACGGACAGGTTCCTACTCCCTGGAAACAGGCCCTAGTCATACCAATCCCTAAACCTAATAAACCAGCTAATCAAGCTAACTCATATAGACCAATATCCCTAACTTCAAACTTATGCAAAGTAATGGAATCAATGGCTAAAAATAGATTACAACATTACCTAACCCAAAATAACATCAACTATTGAAGTGCATGGCAAGTATTTATCAAACGAAATATTCGGGGGGGGGGGGGGGGGATTTTATGTCGTAGGATGGGGGAGAGTTTATTCCGAGAGGGGCGGAACTGTACCAGTATAAATTTGCCGGGGGAAAATTTTATTCTGGGGGCGAATATATTTCGTTACAACGGCACCCGTTCCTAAATCCCCCTTCCCCTTCGAGGCGGGGATAATAATTAGGCTTAATAAAGCTAGGATCAATACGCAAACAAGGGAGTATGTTCATATCTTGAATAAACTTATGAATGTTATATGCAATCGTTCTAAATTCAAAACCCTCCTATATGAATGTAAGAGCAAAAATCATTTAAAAATCCCAATTTGTATTTTAAACTAAAACTAAAAATATTTATTGAGTATTTTAATTATTTATGCATCAGGCAGTTGCAAACATGTGATTCCATTTAGGTAGACAGGGGCG